TCGAATTAAAGTGGTAAATACTGAAGATATTGCATATAAAGAACGAGAATAAACGGAGAAAGACGTTGTTCAAATTGACTTCGGTGAAATCAACGATGTTTTTTGAGATGAAAGCATCTTATTATTTTATCTGTTTGGTAACTGTGATGGTTGTCGAAGTGAAAACAATAAAAACTCAGACTGGTGGTTTTGTTGGTTTGACATCGAACGGAGTCGACATTTATCTAGGCATTCGCTATGGGCAAGTTGTGAGACGTTGGTCACCAGCCTCATTATCACGCTTCTGGATCGGAGTAGTTAATGCTACAGCGTTTGGACCAGTTTGCCATCAATATGGTCCTCATGGTCAACCGGAAATGGATGATGAAAATGAGGATTGTTTGTTTCTAAATATTTGGGTTCCTTCGAAAAGTTATTCATTACTACCAGTACGTGTGTGGATTCATGGAGGTGGTTACACTTCTGGTAGTGGCAATTTCTATGATGGAACCGATCTTGCTCGTTTGTCTCACTCTATTATTGTTACAATCAATTATCGTCTTGGTATCTTTAGCTTCTTCCCATTACCCAATGTCAAAACGAGAAACATTGGTTGGCTTGATCAGCAATTAGCATTACAATGGGTTCAGAATAATATTGCATCGTTTGGGGGTGATAAGACGAATGTGATGATATTCGGTCAATCAGCTGGTGGAGGTTCTGTCGTCGCTCATTTGTTGATGCCGTCCAGCTGGCCATTTTATTCATCGATTGTGCTGCAATCATCAGGACCTTATCGTCTACTAGAATGTCAGCAGATAGAACAGCAAAATAGGAAAATGCTTGAAAATTTGTTTCCCGAATGCCAATCGAACATCACTTGTTTTCAAGAATTGCCTGCGAGGCAACTTAGCCAAAAATTAAAGCCACTTTGGATCGACTTGTGGCCCTGCGTAGGTACTGGTTCGCAATTAGAAGAACAACCATTAACCTTAATTCGCAAAGGTAAATACAACCGAAATGCATCCGTCCTTGTTGGATTCAATGCAAATGAGGGTCAAACGAGTGTACTGCTATTTAATCAATATCAATTGTCAATCTCTTCAGATGAATACCGTCCTTGGGCTTCACAATATCAGATCCCAAATGATCTCATCGATCTATATGATCCAACTGAGACGAACAAAAACTACTTCGACGCACTTAGTTGGTTATTCGGTGATTACTACATATGTTGTCCAAGCATATTTCTTCTGAATCATTTATCAAAGTTATCATCATCGGTTTACGCGTACCTGTTTGCACATCCTACAGAACATTGGAATTATACATCCTATCATTTCAATGCTACTCATTTCACTGAATTGCCTTATGTATTTCATAATAATTTGGAAGGAACTAAATTCACACCTGCTGAGGCCGACCTCTCTGCAAAACTTATTCATTATTTCAGTTTGTTTCATCTGCGAGAACAGCCATGGCTATCCTATCAAATGAATCAGACAGTTCTTATGTTTGATGTAGGTCGATTAACATACCGATCAGGTTCTGAAGAGCGTCTAAAAACACGCTGCCCTTTCATGCTCAAATATCTGGATAGTGGTGATTGCCGAGCTTATTTGACTGATGTAGAATGTACAAAGGTAGACGGCTGCCAATGGTTACAGAAGCAATGCGAATTTAGGATTAGCTCAACTGGTTTACGTTTCAAGGCCCACGATTTTTTGTTTGCTATAGTATTGTTTGTCTACATTTATTGTTTTACTTAACCTTAACAAGCAATGCCTTCAACGACGTAAGAGCATATTCAAATAACCGATCACAATGATTGTCTTAACTTCTTTTTACGTAACTTCTTTTCTCAGAATTTTAGTTGAAATTTTAGAGAATTTGGCATCTGCACTACATGCTAAAATAAAATGTGTCACATTCATGTATCTCTAGTAATTGTGTCGCAGATTTTACCATGAAATATGTCACAATTAGAGTGTGTCGTGTTCTGTTTGATGGCTGTTCATTTACCGTTTTGTTTTCCCCATATGGCTACCTCTAGTCAACTCCATCGAATATGTTAAAGTAATTTAATTTCGTATGTCTTTTTTCCGTTATTGCATGATTAGTTCTTGTTCGGGAACGCACTAATGGATCGATCGATGACTAAGAGATAACTGCTTCAAAGCGATGTGAACACGTTCAGACAAATCTGAATCTGCTAGATTTCAAGATCAGACCGTCTTCAATTTTAACAATAACTGCCATTTATTTCAATTAAATTTTAAACAATATCATTATTTGCTTTTAGAGTGTGGGTGTGCTGCTCGATGTCGATCTTATCATCAACTACATCCACACCTACATGCACACCCACACCCACACCCTTGAGATATTATTTTACAATTAGCAATAGAGCTTTGTTAAATATCATAGCAAATGAATGAAATCCATTGAAAGTAATATTATCGAAAATGAATTCATCAATCTTTTGTATAATATTCGTATATTCATCCTTATGCATACGAAACAGCCGTGATATTTGATATGACTTTCTTTTGACATGTAATCAGTATTATCTCGTGATTTTCTTTTCTAAAATCAAATAAGGAAAGACGTTTATTCTTACCTGTTAATGTTAATTGTATCCCTTGATAATGAGATAAAAAGATTAGTAAACAATTTGGAAAAAAACAAAATGAAGTTTCTTACACTCTTTAGCTACTGGTTTCAAATTATATGCTGTACCATTTCCATTAGTTGAATCAGGAAACTTAATGTCTGCATATGCTCCATTTAGAGAATTGAATGATGTTTTCAGATGATTAAAACTCTAGAATAGATTCAGAAATGTTGTATATACAGTCAAACCAAAAACTATTCAGACACCCTTCTAATTTTTTTAAATATTTATTGATTCGTGAAGCAGAAATCAGAGATAAATTTTTTCTTTTTTCATCAGTAGATATTTTTCGATTTATATTATTTTCGATATCAAAATTATATCATGCATATATCACTAGAGTGATTAAAACAAGCTACATCCATTCATATGATTATCAATATAGAAAAATAATATTCACAATCAAAACTGTTCCATAAAAGGCAAAAAAAATCTCTGAATATGATAGTATAGAGGAAAAATCATCAGAATTTTTTCAGCACTAATTTCTAAATATACTACTGGAGAGCCCATCAACAGTTGTACGAAATCTAGCAGTTCAAAATCTTAAATTTTGGAGAAAAGTATTATACTAGAATATTGATGTTACATGGCGTCCTTGAAAGAATACTCAACTGTGTTCATGAGAAAAATTGATATAAGAGAAATGTATTGTTTATGATGCAATAGAGAAAAAAATCTCTACAAACTGGTATATTTATCAGTGAAATATTCATCTTGTGTCAAACATTATTTCGTTGTCTTTGATGGTATCGGTTTAAAAGATAAAAGAAAAAGGAAAATTTTCGTTTTCCTTTCTTTTTGTGCAACACGGGTTTTTCATTATTTGATTTGAAAATTAGACTATGAACATGAAGAAAATCATTTCCACCATCATATACCAGTACTCTCACTCATACTTAGATACGTATCCTAATTTTTCAAACAAAAACAAAAATTATTTGTTTTTTCTTTCATCCTTTAAACCGATACCATATAAGAAAATGTACAAGACTTAGTGCCACAAGAATATTTCACTGATAATTATACGAGTTTCTAGGGAATTTTTTTCGTCTCTTATATGTTATACAATACACCTTTCTTATATTGACTTTGTTATGAATGCAGTTGAGTATTCTCTCAAAGAATGCATGTAACATCAATATTTTAGTATAATACTTGTCTCTAAACTTTAAGTTTTTGTACTGAAAATATTTTGAACTGCTAGATTGCTCCAGTGACATACGCATGATATCATTATGATGTTGCAAAGTTGAATGCTTTGATATGAGAAACAAAAAAATCTCATCCTGCATACATCGAAAAACCGATTGTTTTTACGAAACAATGTTCCATACTTCAAGATGATAATCCAAAGTCATAATTTTGATATTGAAAATTATATAAATCGAGGAATATCTACTGATGGAAAAAGAAAAATTTTATCTCTTATTTCTGCTTCACAAATCAATAAATATAAAAAAAATACAAGCTTGTCCAAAAACTTATTGTTTTGATTGCAGATGATGATTGGTTGTTTCCTCTTATTATATTACTGTTTCTCTTTTAAGTTCTCTTACCTTGATAGGTGCTTCACCAGCTTGCTCAGCCATATAAGTAGTAACCATTTGTACCGCTTCTATCGTTTCTGTGTCAACTGACGGTTCGTTTTCTGCAGCTATATCGGATGGCAATTTCAATGTTGTATCATATGCATTACCTACATCGACATGACTGGCATTAAAAAAAACGAAAACTCGTAACTTAATACTTGGTTCAAAAAAGTACAAGTTCCTTGTTTATATTAATTCATTTCGGATGGCGCTACATTTAAATAATTGGCGAGGGAAAATTTCTACGAGTAACTTTGCCAGACATTCGCGTTAGCGATAGTTCATTTGAATGTATACAGTTTTATCTTCGTGCCGTAATGTCTCATTAGAATATCTTTCAAGAAAAATCATCAAGAGTGAAGAAAATATTCAGATGACTATCATGATTTATTTTTCTTAAAAAGTAATTATATAAAATTATTGTAGGAAAATAGTTTCATAATTTATGAAATAAAAAAATCCACTCTCAGTGATACATTCGAGATTATGCAACTATAATAGTTAGTGCACACAAGTATCAGTGTTAATCAAGGATCGGAATGGAATGATAAAGAAAAAGCATCGTTTTGATAGAGTTAGTGTTTGAATTTTGTAAAGAATGTTGATGTCAATTTAGTTAGTACTATAGTAAATACTCATACTAATGCAATCAGTGTTGGAACAGATATTGTATTACATATGCTTGTTTTTTTCTTAGTAGAAATCAATGCATGATGTACGTGAAAACAATATGAAATCTAATACAAGATAGTAACTCATCGCATAAATTCATCATCCCAACGACCATAACATAAATCAATTCCACCAATGAAAGCAGTCTTTTGGTGGATAACAACCATTTTCTCATGATGAAACCACGAAACTAAGCAATCTTTAGTATTATGACCTGGATGTCGAATAACCTTAGATATTCAAGTAAATGAGCTATTTATGTTATTTTTAATTAAAAGACTCAGTAGGCTTTAATAAATACTTTTGTACTTTTAGAAACTAATTTTGTTTCTGTATATAAACTATTTAAAGCTAAAGCAAATGGCATTTCCTTATAAAGCATTACATGAACACGAGCTCCTGCATCCTAAAATTTATATCTAACATTTTAACAAGCATAAATAATAAAACAAATCAAATTCTCACAACTATTCTTCCTAATATATTATCAAGTCGAAATGTTTTTCATCTGCTGGTCTAATTAACATAAGTTCAGCTGAAAGCCACCAGTCTATAATAAAAACTTCTTCTTTAGCTATTAAAAGTGCTTTAGCATTAGCTAACATATATGATTTACCATTAATAAACCTATATTAAACATTGTATTTTAATACAAGATCATTTTACTACTTTACTAATGAGCTAATTGATTTTCTCGAATAGGTGCATATGAATCGGATTGATTTCGTGTTTTATTGACAACATCTTTTACTTGTTCAGTTAGATTTGATAAATGTTTTGTCCATTCATTATAATTATGTACTTTTCGACATTTAATAAGTAATATACACTGTGAATTGATTATTTTAATATCATCATCATAATCAATATTTTGAATATCAGATGAAATTTGAAAATCATGATCAACTAACATAGGAAAACATATTTCATGTATATCAGGTCATATATCAATCATATAAATATCTTTAATAATAAACCATTTATATTTCACAAAATGAAGATCTCTTTATTGAAAATATAATTCATAGGAAAAAAATATACGTACTTTGAACTATCATGACATTTACATAAATCACAAAAATATGATGCACGCAAGAAAGCATGGTAATCAAAATAATAATTAATAGATTGTTCTTGTAGATAACCTTCTTTTCGAGTAACTGATAAACCAAGAACGAATGATAAACAATTTACGCCAAAAAATTGACACTAAAAACAATTAAAATAGTGCAATATGATGTTATAAGGAAAGTAACTACCATTTTCATTGAATTTTTATCTAATATTGTATAAGATTTTCTTTATTGCTATTCATAAGAGTTTTGATTTAAATGAATCATTTTCGATCTGCTAGAACAATATTCAGAACGCCATAGAACTGATGGACAGTAAACTAAGGTTATTACACAAAAACTATTATCTCAACAAATCGAAAGTCTTTTATCAGGGACCAAAAATTGAAAAAATATCGTTTATATATGCCATTAAGAAAAAAACAAAGTTTGATGATGATTTCAAAGTTACATTAGATGTGCAGAATTAGATGAAGTGTCAACTACAATTTACTAATGATTCTATTGTTTATTTTGTATTTCCTTCGTATTTTCTTATTATTTGTAAAAATTCATGTTTTTGAACAGCTTTTTACCTTCACATTCGTTAACAATACTAACAGTGTTACATAAAGTACACATGAAAGTTATAGACAAAAAGTCTTGTTTTGATCATTTCCTGGAGGATTTCTTTTTGATGACAAATTTTACAACATTTGATTGCTGTTTTTTATGTTATCTTTATAAGATTTTATCTTAAACTTTCAATGAAAGAAATGTATGCTGTTGGCCATAACAAAGTTGTTGCATGTTATATCAAAGCTATTAACTACCATCTACTGTAGATTAGTAACCTTGAATAATTAGTAATCAGGTAACATGGTTGTTAATAAACGACTCGAGTATAGATGTTCTATCTATTTATACCCGCGCCTACTCCAATCCGAATCCAAATCTCACTCTGCCTCTTTCTTCCCTCCTTCATAGCCTCAGAAAACATCGAGTATACCATCGCTATAACCTTTTAGAGAAAAACGAAGACAGATGAAATCTTCATATAGCGTTATCTATTCTCAGCTAAACAACAGATTTCATTAACTCAGTTATTGACTGGGATGATTACTTTCGTAAATGGTAATCAATTATTCTTCCAATCAGTTAATTATTTGTAATAAAAGTTTCTATATATAACAGATTATATTTGATTTGGTAGTTTTCGGTTAAGCTACGTTAGCAACAGTGAATTTCTGTAGAAAGGAACTCAACAATCAGAAAGAAGTTTCTCATCAATTCTAGATATTTAATTAGTCTATACGTTAAAATTAGTAAAAATATCAACTACGAATTCATACCGTTGCTGGGTGTGCACAAAATTTAAGATGTTGAAGAGCTTTTTTGAGATAATCGACAAGAATTGGCGATGAGGAAAAATAAATAAATAAATGATTAAAAAAAAGTAAAGCTCATTTTTAATTTACACAACGTTGTTCAACAATGGAATCATCAGTAAATGCTATTGTACCATTTCTTGTTGGAAAATATGGGTATTCTTTGTTTTCAGCTTGGTTACTGCAAGAGATGAAATCATGATAAACAAATATCTAGTTCACACTACTTCAGTTGATCTAGCTGATTCGTTTGATGTGATCGAATGATACTTGTTGTTAGAAAATTATCAATTATTTTTAGACTGAATTCTATAACTCAACTCGATCCAAGGATCGAATTAGATGCAAAACGCAATTTGAAAAATCTGGTTTTTATGTCGGATTCATTTTTCTTGACAGAATCTATTGTTCTTTATTATGTACTTTTCATGATTCATGTGGGGTCGATCTTTAATGAAGCAATCGGTTCATATTATCTTTAAATAGTCTAGAATGCTTCTAACAATTCTTAAACAGCTGCATAACTTACTGTTTTTGTATAAAACATGCACAAAACAATAAGAATAAAAGCAGATAATGCTAAGAAATCACAACACCCTTGTCCACTTTCGTTCTTTAATTCTTTTCAAAAAATTTTGACAATAATGTCGAAGGATATGGATGTGAATGTTCGGCTATAGATAAATCGTACTCACACTCTCACATAATAGAAAATAAATCCCCTGTAATGAAGATAGCCTCATCATCAGATTCCCACGGATCGGATTTGATCATTGCTATGGCAATCAAACTTTTCTTCATCACTATTTGAATACGTTTTCAAAAAAAGAAGAAGTCGTATATATTATAAAAGCACTTGAAAGTTTTTATCTCCCTATGTATTTTTCTATCAGTTTACATTTATTTGATCAAAAAATAATTTGAATATGACGAAGAAACCGTCTACTGACAAGAACGAAGTATTCAAGTTTTTTCTTTTAAAAGTTCAGAATGATCTGCAATGAGAACTATTGTCAGATCATATAATTAATTGTTTCGAACAACAAATAATTGCAAGCTAGCAGATACATACATAAGAAGATAAAAAATCTCTAGCGCTTTCAAATTATATATAACCTCCTTTTATGAAGACGTAGTAGTATACTAATAAAAAATAAAAAAAACTAATTGTCAGCAGTGATCGAATTTGACCCGTAGGAATCTGATGATGAGCGTATCCTGATCGCAGTCGATTTATTTTCTATTGCATCAGAACAAAATCAAATGTGTTTGCACAGGGATGATACATAACTCCGACAGCTTTCAAAGTATGCTATTGTTTTTGTATAGATATCTTTCCAAAATTAATAATATACTAATTCCACTGATTTGGTGTCTGGAATCATCCTCCGCATCTTATATGCTATCGGATACCCAACTTCATCAGAGGACACTTCGATAAACATCTGGAATCTTTTTGTATGAAAGATATTTAAAAAATATTTTGTCTTCTTATTATTCCATGTCGTACATACATGTCTAAATCATGGTTTGATTTCCTCCTTTCTATATCCGCAAAATTCAACAATGCTTGATGTAAAACTTGAAAATGTCGATAATGTTTTTGAAGTAGTCCATTCATAACACTCACGCTGAACTGTTATACAGAATCTTGAAATAAATAAATTCATCATTTCAATAATTTTAAGTGTTATTTAGTTAAACCTACAAATGTGGATCAAGAAACGCTTTAGAACGTTCATCAGTACGTTCAGTCACAATTGACTTAATATGAACTGGAACATTAGGAACAAATCCTTCTCCAGTATGACAATGAATATGTTCGATAGTAAATATTTCACCTTAGTAACCAAGAACTCAAACAGATCGAAAAAAACTAATTATAGAAACCTCGTTGAAAATGGTCATCAACAATTTCATCGAAATTATCATCAGGATATGGTAGGTATTCTGTATATTTTTGGTCTGTATGATCAAGATCAATGGAATACTAAGCTTCCTCAGCTGTATTATGAGCGAGAGCACCGATAACGCCCGATTCATTATCAAACGACATCTAACATATTTTTTCATATGTTCAAAGTACTAACTTCACCTTTTGTTTTTGGAGAATAGAAAGAGATGGAGAGAAAAAAATCAACGAACTATATTTATCTATATAAGAAAGTAAGGTGCGGGAAATTCAAAATTTTAGCATAAATTTTTTTTTTCAATGTATTATATATGGTTGGATAGAGCTCGTCAAACTGTATAAGAAAATATATTTTAAAATTTTTTTTCTTGCTTTATATCAAAAAAAAATCAAAATACTTTGATGATATCAGTCTATGTAAAAATCGACTACTTTTGAGAAATGATATTTAAATTTCTCTTTTTCTTGTTCCAATAATTCTAAGAATATTATTTTCTTTATCAGTATGAAAAACTGAGTATAAAACATTAATTTAAATTAATGTTTTATACTCAGTTTTTCATACTGATAAAGAAAATAATATTCTTAGAATTATTGGAACAAGAAAAAGAGAAATTTAAATATCATTTCTCAAAAGTAGTCGATTTTTACATAGACTGATATCATCAAAGTATTTTGATTTTTTTTTGATATAAAGCAAGAAAAAAAATTTTAAAATATATTTTCTTATACAGTTTGACGAGCTCTATCCAACCATATATAATACATTGAAAAAAAAAATTTATGCTAAAATTTTGAATTTCCCGCACCTTACTTAGAAAGGAAAAAACGTGCTACATCGAAATGAAAAATGAATGGGAAACATTTTAGAATGTACTAGGTCTTTGTGAAACTGGTCAGCAATAATATATTTCGATGTTACTGGAAAAACTATCACAGTGAAACGCATTTTTCGGAGCAGAAAAAAAACAAAAAAAAAATAGCTGAGTTCTCGACTATTCGTTGATTCGATAATCCAACTCGTCTTTCCTGTCATCCATGTTCGATTATTACGACTTAACACAATTTTTAGTGAGAGTTTAACAGCTCTTAGAGACTGATTTGAAGAAGAGAGCGTATTTATGATAAAGCTTGCTTTGAATATATAATCAGCTAATATAAAAAATATAATGAGAACACAATCAGAAACGATTGATTCTTCGTCTTATCTAGTTTTGACTCTTTTATCTAGTTTACGGTAGAAGCAGAATAAGAAAATAATACCTTTCATGAGGATCAATATTAAGGA